TGTTTGCGGTTTATTCTGTAACTCAAAAAAGAGAGGAAGCGAGCGGAAAGAGAGAGAGAGAGAGAGAAGGAGGGAGAAGGGAGAGGAGAGAGAGAGAGAGAGAGGAGAGAGAAGAGAGAGAGGATCCGAGCGGAGGATGAGAGGAGAGAGAGGGAGAGAGAGTCGAGAGAGAGAGAGCGAGGATCGAGAGGAGAGGAGAGAGGAGAGGGAGAGGAGAGAGATGAAGAGGAGAGAGAGAGGAGAGGAGAGAGGAGGAGGAGATGAGAGAGAGAGAGGAGAGAGAGGAGAGGGGAGGAGGAGAGAGAGAGGAGAGAAGAGAGAGATAGGAGGAGGAGAGAGAGAGAGAGAGCGAGAGAGAGAGGAGAGAGAGAGAAGAGAGAGAGAAAAGAGAGAGAGAGAGAGAGATAGAGAGAGAGAGAGAGAGAGGAGAGGGAGAACGCGTAGCATTTTTGGCTTTCTTCACGCAGGGACGTAGTTTTCAGAAATAAGTGGGGAAGCGGTCTGACCGTGAAACAACATGATGCAGCCCAACCCTAAAATACGCCGACAAACGGTCGTCCCAGGATTCGGTCCACTTTGATAATGGTTGGGACTTCACCGACCCGCCAGGCCATTTCAAGACCGAGGTCTTTATTATGCATCCATGCGTGGGATGCGGTGGTGACGTGGCAGGAGCTCCAACCCAAAGCCGGCAGGGTCCAGAGACGAGTATTTTAACGACAATACCACCGCCATCCACCCCGCTTTAGTCCATGTTATTCTCGAAATTGAGGGGGGGAGAAGGGGCTGGAGTCCAATTTTGGGGAGGAACGAAGCCTCGTTCACAAATGAATAGGGAACTGCACCACTGATTTCAGGTGAAAAATTTTCCCGCGAATGTCCGAGAAGTGAATGGGCTAAACTCAGGTTGATGTCGGTAGATGCAGTATTTTACTTTACACGAAATATTGTCCGGATGTAGTGAGTGGACGATACCTCTAAAGCCTCGCCTCACTTCACGTAAACGGCTGAATACCCTGACAAAAGCCCATTTGGAAGTACAGTAAAAAGTCCGTATTGGTTGAGATAAAAGGCTTTATAGATATGAATAATTGGCAGCCTTCTTCATGTATTGTGATGTGTTATTTGAGCGAAGATGATAGGTGGTTGCATTCTCTAGCAGCATCTCTGTCCCTCAGGGATCCCATCGTCGTGAAATACTAATGGCTCATCTGCTAGCGATAAAGGAATTTGTTAAAATCGAGGTTTCAGTAAGAAGCTAACGTGGCAGTTATGCACTCACCAGGCTCATCAACATGATGCATAACAAAGCGATGCCAAAATTTTGACAAGATTTCCTAAAACGTCGTTACGCAATCCTTGGGAAGTGTCGTTCTGTTTATTACTGATACTATTCCGAATGTTATTTTATGGGACTGGCTGAAAAGAGAGGTGACCTAATGGTACATGAAATTTCGTTGGCACGTGACAAATGACATTGATGCAATCAAGCAACGATGCCATTTATCCAGCCTTGTAATGGGGCACTCATTTTGGATTTAGTATCAAAGTACTGGCTCAGTGCCATTTCAAACTGATGCATAGTTGAGCCTTTGTTTCATCTCACTCGTCAGTGTGATTTGACATATCAAAAGGCTCTGCAGGTATATAATGAAGATAATACATAGTTGGGCATGTGATTTGACGTCAGTTACACCGGCCGACACTGGAGTCAAATGATTCTCGTCAGGCGCTCTTTAGGGATTGAAAAAATACACCCATTTCATACGTTCTCCTCAAAGTACACAGGTAGTTAGGGGCACAGTCAGGATTCTGTTAAAAGAGGAGCCGGGAACTCTGTGAGCATGAATCAGCGATTCTAAACCTTCTGTCCGATGCCATCCATAGTGAAAGAGGACCTAAGGGGGAATGCGGGCCACCCGGGCTCTTCCCTTGGCTGCGCTACTACAGATGACGCTGCATTTGTATCCAACCTGAACACATAATCCGCGCTCTTTTACAAGTTCTCTCATCACAATGCAAACACCTAAATATTGGTGAACTCACCAATGTCCAGCATGCAAATAAACCCGATTTATCAAAGCTGCTGCCATCCGTCGATAAAATATCAGGCTTCATTACCTTAATTGTTGGCATCATTTGCGTGCAACTTGTAACAACTTTGATAAGCGCTATTAACTACCTTGTCATACAAACGGAACTGGGCCTAAAAAAAAATGCGTACAATATGTAGCAATCGAAAGATAGACACTCGAATGGCATTACAAAATATAAGCAACTACGCCCACTCATGCTGAAAGGCATTGCCATTCCACACACAAGATCCTGAAAATAAGTAATTAGTTATCGTTTCTTTTTCCGTGAGTTAAGACATTATAGCATGATAACAGCTATGCTATTGAACATTATATGTCAGCACTTATGAACTTATGGGCGATTGTGAACTGTTTCTCAGCTGTACCGTTATCATTGCTAAACGCAATGATAGCGATGTCAGTGTATGTAGGATATATATATATATATATATATAT